ATTGTTGTAATTATATGTCGCTTTATTGTTTTCATATTCGTCTTTATTACATTTCACTTTGACTTTTATCCTTCTTCATTTTGCCCTTACTTCTATGTTGCTTTATTCTTGTAAATTCATTTTACTTTCTTTTAAATTGATTCAGTTTCTTAAATGATTATCTCTATTACGAACGTGAATTCAATCACACAAAGAATGAAGCATATTCAATGAAGACGAATACAAGTTGTCAAAATTTAGTGCCGCATTATAACGCTAGGTGGCAGGGGTGTTCGCTACGAGTGTTGGTAAAACTAGGTAAGCAAACCCGGGCCGGGGTTATTCGAGATTTTTCAATTTTCTGCCTTAATACTTTATCAATCGAACTTCTGAACTGATCCAATGATGGAAACTCCATATTTATTTTCTCTGGGCACACAGGAATAGCGGCCTCTTTTTTCAGACATAACTTTATATAATTTGCTGAATATGTTCATTGAAGGGCCGACCCACTTTTTGTAAGGGTAAGGGTCAAATAAGGTTAATGTAGTATAGTAGGGAAAAATTTAAATTTGATACTATAGAAGAAGTTGAATCTAACCCAAAACCCACCCCGCCCCGAAATAGGATTTCAATGGCGTCGGACAAAGTGAAAGTTGGGGCCCGGGGGGGGGGGGGGGCAAAGTGTAAGAAATATTTTTTAGAACTTCAAAAAAAAAACTTGACAAGCCAAAAAAAAAAAAAAAAAAAAAGAGATATCCACGGTCCAAACACAAAAATCCTATTTCGTGGAGGGGGGGGGGGGGGGGGGTTGAACCTCAGTGCCAATTTTTTTTTTTTTCAAAACACCACCACTTTCCCCATTTTAAACCTATACTGCATCGTGTCCATGGAAAGGGGGGGGGGGGGCTAAACCTACGCAGCAATGTTCAATGTCTGTTCTAAGTCTATCTTTGGAAAGAAAAGTGGGGGCTAAGCCCCCCTCCCCCTCCCCGGTTCCGACGCCTATGTATTTTCAAGTTTGGACAATTTCCTTGTTTTTTTTTTGTTTTTTTTTTTTGTTTTTTTTTTTTTTAATTTTGCTTGTCAAGTTGTTTTCAGTTTAAAAACGATGCTACGTCACTGTTCTCTCGCCTGAAAAAAATATAACTCTATTAAAGTTATTTGTTGGATAATTGAATTCCAGTTTAATTGACATAAAAATGTTAAATATTTTGATACTAGTTACCCCTTATAAATTGATTTGTTTTTCAGGACCTTCCACTGAACTGAACTTTATTTCACGACAAATAGTAACTGCTCATGCGTGTGATTCTAGGGACGGGGCTTTGCAAAGGAGTGAGGAGCGTTATGGGTATGCGAAGTCGGAACCAGGCTACACCCCAGGCATACTAGAAACTCCCCGGTCTTCTTTTCTGCTATAATATTTTATGTTGAAATAGTACTTTTCAATAAAGAAAAGAAATATCTTTAGTACGCACCGTATTTTACATCAGCCAGGAGAGCTAAAAAAAAATCTTAAAACTTGAAAATTCTATTTGGTGGTGGTGAAGGGGAGGGGGGGGGGATTTCGTCAACTTTTTTCAGTACCAAATATTACTCACTAAGTACATGACTTTTAAAATATAAATTGACTATTAGTGCTGCAACAAAAAGTGTAAGGGATGGGGGCAACAAGCCTTTCGCTGAAATTTGCCAGTAGTAAAAAGTCTGTTACGTTTAGGAAAATGTTTCGTGGCCACCCTCCCCTCTACCAGTGCTGGCGCGGATCCAGAAATTTTTTTCTAGGGGGGGGGGTCCACCCCTGTCAAAAATAAACCCAATCCCAGAAATTTCTTGACAAGCAAAAAAAAAAACAAAAACAAAAACAAAACAAAAACAAAAAAACCTAAACTCGCCCAAACGTGAAAATCCTATTTCGTTGGGGGGTGGGGGGTGGGGGTAGGGGGGACGGGGGTTGTAGTCTATGACTTCTATTGCCTCAAATCCTTCACTTTTCATACCCATTTCACACATATTCATGTTTACCGGGGGGGATTCCAAGGTAATTTTTTTCTTGCTTTAGTATATACATTTCTTAACCTTGTAAATTCCAGGGGGGGGGGGAGGGCTGACCCCCGACCCCCCTCTAGATCCGCGCATGTGGTGAAACTTACCCCATAGGAGGTCGTTCAGACGGAAGTCAGTATATATATTGAGACTTGGGGGTGTGATTGTACATTGTATAACGTCCCTTTAAATTGGAGAATTTTTAACTCAAATGGAGAAGCCACCTCTTGCCGGTGGAGAGCTGCAAATTTGTCCTATATACCCGGCACTTATAGCCATTGAGCAGTGAGGGATCTTTTTTCGGGCCAGCACCTACTGCGATACGGGACCTCGGATAATACGGTCTAGATCTCATCCGAAGGACCGAACTCCACGTCCCATAGTGGGACTATGATTCGAACCCACGACGTATTGATCGACTCCTTACTACTGTGTTTCGTGACTCTAGAGCAGACGCCGTAAACACACAGTGCCACGCAGGAAAATTATCTATGTTTAACTAAACGGTTAAAATGATTTAATTATTAACCACTGCATTAAAAAAATTATTCATATAGGGGGTAGGGGGGGTGACAGGGAGAGCTGTAAAAGCTGTATATTTATTGCGCACGAAAATGTGGGTTTCTCGGTTTTTAAAACTGTCATCTCAAAATATTACTAACCGTGTGTTCCTAGCACATTCTTCCACTGTTTCCAGAACAAAACATTCCTCACAATCGTTTTTCATAGCCCTCCACCTAATAGATCTCGAAAATTTCGAAAATTATCTATGTTTAACATAAATGGTTAAAATGATTTAATTATTAACCACTATTAAAATGATATCATTAAAAAATTTATTCATATAGGACGGATAACTTTTCTTCAAAAACTGAAAACGTTAGTATATAAACATTGTTTTACGATTTAAAAAAAAAACAATTCGGGGGAGGGGTTGCTATGAAGGGGGACGAATTGCTATATACAGCGAGATTTCCCACGGAAGACTAGCTATATATTGAAACTTCCCCGGGGGAAGTCTCACTGTATAATCTTCCGAAGGAAGCATCACTATGTAGACAGTCTTCCAGGGGAAATATTACCATCTTCCGAGGGAGTGGCATTATCGGGTACATACCTGAACTTATAACAAACATCATTTGAAAATTTAAGTTCGATTGATAAAGTATTAAGGCAGAAAATTGAAAAATCTCGAATAACCCCGGCCCGGGTTTGCTTACCTAGTTTTACCAACACTCGTAGCGAACACCCCTGCCACCTAGCGTTATAATGCGGCACTAAATTTTGACAACTTGTATTCGTCTTCATTGAATATGCTTCATTCTTTGTGTGATTGAATTCACGTTCGTAATAGAGATAATCATTTAAGAAACTGTATCAATTTAAAAGAAAGTAAAATGAATTTACAAGAATAAAGCAACATAGAAGTAAGGGCAAAATGAAGAAGGATAAAAGTCAAAGTGAAATGTAATAAAGACGAATATGAAAACAATAAAGCGACATATAATTACAACAATAACAAAGCATAAAGAAGTAGGCAGAATAAGAATAAAAGCAAGATACATAGACTTTTGGCGGTAATTCCCTTCCATAGTGATGTATGTTGTTATGTATATTCTATAATCTTGTGATGTATATTCGAAATCTTGTGATGTATGTTCGATAATCTTGTGATGTATATTCGAAATCTTGTGATGTGTGTTCTACAATTCAGTGATGCGTGCAATAAAATTGCATGACGCAACAGAAAAGTAAGGACAATTTTCATTGGTTAGAAATAACGAAAGTAGCTGAAGCGTCGGGAAAACCATGCAGGTGAGAAAAAAACATCAGTTTGTTTATTGCAGCACTAATTACGAGATGCACGAGTGTTGTTCCTGGTGACATGATGAAGATATTTCGGCCTGCTAGGGAAAAAACTCAGTAAACGTAGATATATTGACAAAATTTGTAGGTACTTGTAACGATATGTCACGATGCTGCATTGTCAGATACAGTATTTATACATGCATGCTAAAAAGTTAAATCTCGTAGTAATCAATATAGCAGAAGAATAATGAAGAGTACATACTACAAAAACTGTGCAATTTGTAGCAAGATTAATTTTTGTTTAACAGCTGTTTTTATTACATTTTATTTCGTATTATTACTACCAAATACTGCTACCGTTTGTTAATGTTATGCACATGGTTATCTTGTACTTGCAAGTAAATGTAACATTTAAAAAAAAAATAATGAAAAAATAAGTCATTTAGGCTATTTGATAATAACATGCTAAATGAACATGTTTTGCTTTTTAATTCTCCTTCACTCAGTCTTTGTATAATGTATATTTTTAGACGAGCTGATCGCCAACCAGGAGATCAGAATGATCGCATCTGCTCCTGCCACTTTAAGGATGGTAAGAAGGAGGGGGACCCTGCATATTTTGCATGGAATGAAGGAAAGGCCATGGATTTCTCTGATCCTGAATTTACAAAAAGGTGAAATTATTTTTCAAAATATGACCGACATCTTGTTTTTGGATGGTGGGTGGGTGGAGTTTAATTGAGAATATTTTACTAAAAATCTTTAAAAGGGTACATGTATAAACAGAGTAGCTTACAACTGAATAAAAAAATAATTCAAGTTTAATTATTTTACAAAGGAGGAAAAAACTCAAAAGTGAGGAGTCCCTGTCATCTTAAGATGGACCAGTTGCAGATTCCACAAGCACCAAAATGTCAATATCAAGAAAAAGTAAAGCTCATTTAAATCACCAATGATGACAAATGACCAACACTGAAACATTTTCAATAATTTTTAATAATATATAAAGTTCTTTTAACTGTACATGATTTACAATATATTTTCAGTTGATATCAGAGCACAACTACTCAGCATCCTGCACATTTAACTGTACTCAAGAAATGCAGCGCCTCTCAACAGAAATACAACTGGAAAAGGAATTGCTTGCCCTAAAAATAGAGTCTAGTAAAAGGAAGCCAATATCAATCCACGATATTAAATACAACGAAGAGAAGGTACATTTAAAGGAATTCCAATTGTGATTTCCTATTTCCTAACAATTTCAGTTACTGTAATAAAAACTTGTTGCCATTGAGGGATGAACATCTTAGATTGACTGTTATGTTAACATATTTTGTTATTATTTGGGAGTGTTAGGTATCTGATCAGCAGGGGCATTTTCTCTATATAAGAAGAAAATGGAGACTCCCTACCCACCTGATGTATTTTGTCGGACAGTTTTCTGTACATTGCAGGTAAATTTTTTATTTATTAACTTTCCAGCCTCTTATTGTATAGTACATTTTGGGGTTTGAAGTCAGTTTTTGCTTTTCTTTAATTTTTAAAAAAAAAATTTTTAATTCTCCTTTTCTTAGAATAAAATTCAAAAAGTAGCTTCTGATTGTAATGTATAAGATATTGAAGGGAATTACCGCCAAAAGTCTATGTATCTTGCTTTTATTCTTATTTTGCCTACTTCTTTATGCTTTGTTATTAATGTAATTATATGTCACTTTAATGTTTTCATATTCGTCTTTATTACATTTCACTTCGAACTTTTAACATTCTTCATTTTGTCCTTACTTCTATGTTGCTTTATTCATTCTACTTTCTTTTAAAATGATACAGTTTCTTAAATAAATTATTATGATTATCTCTATTACAAACTTAAATTCAGTCAAGCAAGCAATGAAGCATATTCAATGAAGACGAATATTAGTACATGTAAATCCAAATTTAGTGCGGCATTATAACTAGGTGGTGTGGTGTTCGCTATGTTGGTAAAACTAGGTAAGCAAACCCGGGCTGGGGTTATTTGAGATTCTTCAATACGCCTTAATACTTTATCAATCGAACTTCTGAAGGCCGGATCCGATTTCACCCGATCCAATGATGGAAACTCCATATTTATTTTCTCTGGGCACACAGGAATAGCGGCCTTTTTTTTCAGACATGGATACCATACTGAATATGTTCATTGAAAGGCCGACCCACGTTTTGTAAGAGTAAGGGTCAAATAATTAATGTAGTATAGTAGGAAGAAAATTTAAATTTTATATGTTTTTAGGTTCAAAGTGCCAATTTTTTTTCCAAACACCACCACTTTCCCAAAACCCAGAAAGGGGGGGGCTAAACCTACGCAGGAATGTTCAATGTACTAAGTCTAAAAAAAAAGTAAGCCCCCCCCCCATTCACGCCTATGTATTTTCAAGTTTGGACAATTTCCTGTTTTTGTTTTTTTTTTGCTTGTCATGTTGTTTTCAGCCGGGTAATGAATTTTTATTCTCTTGTTGCCCCCCCCCCTCCCCACTTTCAAAAACGATGCTAGGTCACTGTTCTCTCACCTGAAAAATATAACTCTATTAAAGTTATTTGTTTGATAATTGAATTCCAGTTTAATTGACATAAAAATTTTAATATAATATCTTAAGTACGCACCGTATTTGTCATCAGCCAGGAGAGCTCAAAAAATCTTAAAACTCGAAAATTCTATTTGGTGGAGGTAAAGGGGGGGGGGGGGGGAGGTCACTTTTTTTCAACTAAATTTTACTCATATTTGCCATTAAGTACATAATATATAAATTGACTTTAGCATGTATTTTACTGCAACAAAAAGTAAAAGCCTTTCGCTGAACTTTTCCAGAGTTACGTTTAAGACTCAAACGTTTCGCCACCCTCCCCTGCACCGGTTTAACTAGGAGGTCGTCCACCCGGAAGTCAGTAAATATATTGAGACATTGTACATTGTATAATTTCCCCTTCAACAGAATTTTTCACTCAAATGGAAAGCCACCTTTTACCGGTGGAGAGCTGCAAATTTGTCCTATATACTCGGCACTTATAGCCATTGAGCAGTGAATCTTTTCGTGCCAGCAACTGCGACACGGGACCTCGGATAATACGGTCTAGATCTATCCGAATGAATTAAACCCATGACGTAGATCGACTACATTTAAAACTTACTTGTGATTTCCTATTTCCTAACAATTTCAGTGCACCCACTACTGTCATTATAAAAGATTATCTTTGTTTAGCTAAATGGTTAAAATGATTTGATTATAAAACACTATTAAAATGATATTATTTAAATATTTATTCATATAGGACGTATATAACAAAAACTGAAAACGTTAGTATATAAACATTTTTTACGATTAAAAAAACTATTCGGGGGAGGGGTTGATATGAAGGGTGCGAATTGCTATATATAGCAGATTTCCCACGGAAGACTATATATATTGAAACTTTCTATATATAAGGAAGCATCACTATGTAGTCAGTCTCCCAGGGGAAATCTTACCATCTATAGCGAGACTTCCGAGGGAATGGCATGTATCGGGTACATAAGTACCTGAACTTATAACAAACATCAGTCATTTGAAAATCTAAGTTCGATTGATAAAGTAGTAAGGCAGAAAACTGAAAAATTTTTTATTTTTACCAACACTTTAGCAGCCACCTCGTTATTGCCGCACTATTTTGAGTACATTTTGCTTCATTGTTTGCACATTTGAACTAAGTTTAATAGCATTTTCAATTTAATTGAATTAAAAAATAAATTTTAAAAGTCAAAGTGAAATGTAATAAAGACTATGAAAACAATAAAGTGACTATAGTTACAATAATAACAAAGCATAAAGAAGTAGGCAGAATAAGAATAAAAGCAAGATACATAGACTTTTGGCGGTAATTCCCTTCCATAATAAGACTACAGACATTGAACTTTGATTTGTTATCAAAAGGATTGATTTAAACTTGTCTAAATTAATTGTAAACAAAAATAAAAGGGGGCACCTGCTATTTCTTTAAGTGTTTTTCACTGGGGGGTGGGGAAACTTTTTTGTACATACTTAAGCAATAGGAGGGATTAGATAAGAATCAATTAGTATATCAGAGTCTTAAATAATATACTTTGCATAAGCATAAAAAAATTCTATATCAGTCTTTTTAAAACCTTTGAATTTTGCTTAATTAACTATGATTTATCCAATTTTGGAGCTTTTTACCTAATTCTGGGTAGAATCCACCCTTATGAAATTATTGACTCAATTTTGACTTAATATCACTTTATGAACATTAAAGCACAAAAACAATTCATTGTACAAATATTTTATTTATTACAGTCACCAATATATCCAAATATCATCACCGGCCCAGGCGTCATTCACTCCTTTGAATTGTGCTGGTAGCAGTAAGGTGTCATCATTTGAGATGGTCACAGTATCCAATACACTGAAGTCACAGGACTCAAATTTCATACATGTTCACAGGTAGGTGTATAGTCTTTGAAATTACCACAATTGACTAATTCTGGGACAGGTAAGTATGTAAGTATAGGAATGAGAGCACCAAATCCCCGGATGAACACATGGCTTTGTTTGTTATGGAACATTAAACCGAATACTGAATGGGTAGGCGTTACGCCATTGGCTGAAATCAGGTATTTAATTGTTTTCATTTTAAAGTAAAATTAATGACCTTTGAAATAAATGATGGGATGAGGGAATATTACAGAAACTATAGAAATGCCAGGGAAGATTTTAGGAGTGGGGGTTGATTTTTTATGCCGCGTGTTATTTACTGCGAATCTCTATAAGTTGAAAATAACTGCAATTTTGACCTATAAACGCCATGGGACCATATATTTTTTTCAGTATTTTTTGTTAGGGCTTAGAACAAAGTTTGAAATGATGCTAAAGATTTTTCTGAAATTGTCATAGTAAAGTACTGAGAGGGCCTAAGGTTTGTATGGAGTTCTATGGGAAAATAATTGGTGGTCTTTTCCCTATACAAGATGCTGTCTGATGGCGTAGTGTAGAATGTAGCGTAGAATGTTTTCCAAGTCAGCTTAAATGCAAAGGTTTGTTTTAAAATTTATCATAATGACTTGCAAAAATTTAATGCAGTTAAATTTATTGTATTCTTGAAAGATTGACTGTAACACAATTTTTTTACACAATTACAAATAATCAAATTAATTTTTTTCCAACTTTTTTTCAGGGTCTCTGCCAAAATCTTTTGAGGATTTTTCCTCTGCTAGAGCATCCATGGATGCAATTGAAACAACCCAGGACATCCCAACACATATGGATAATCAGGCCATGGCCTACAGTATGTACAAAAGTTGCCATACTTTTAAAGCAGTAACTTGCGCGCTTCCAAATGGTGCACTTACATTTTGCTCCATGCTGTACCCAGGTTCTACTTCTGATGTAGCTATTGTACGTCACAGCCAAGTTTTACGAAAGTTCAAAGCTGGAGACCTTATTTTGGTGGTCAAAGGTTTCACCATTCATGACCAGTTGCCCCAGGGTGTCTGCTTAATTATAAAAGCTCTTTTATCGACACGAGGCCAGTTTACCATACAAGAAGCAGCACTGTGTTACAAGATTGCTAAAGCACTTATTCATGTGGAAAGAGCCAACGAGAGGATAAAGAATTACGAGATTCTCCGTCACATACCATCTACTTACAGACCAATCTCAACAAAAATATTTCAACTCTGTTCTTGTCTTGTAAACTTGCAAGCTCCACTTTTGAAAGAAATTACTTAAAGATACATGTACTTATTATAAATTTGCATTGGCGTGTGACAGTATACACTAAACAGTGAAGATATTCATACCAAAGTGCAAGGGATAAGCAAATTTTGATTTGTTATCAATGTCAATGGTTATATTTGTTAACTTTGTAGTATGTTGTAATACATGTACTTCAGAAAATGAAAATCCCTTTTGTTAGCATGGATTTATTACAAGAATGTTTGGCAATTCCATTCTTCATTTGACAATATAATTTGGAAGAGGGTTTACTTATAATCTCTAGTTTAAAGTATATTTACCTTTAAAGCACAACTCAACAAATTCATGTTTTCAACAATTTATCTATTAAGAAAGACAAAAATGTTACATTTTCACTTTGAGAATAACATCTTCAATTCATTAATAAAATGATTCTAAATTTTGATATTCTTTTTTTATGTAGTACATAGATTTTATTAATCATCATTGCTATTTAAAATAGTCTTATAAGCCAGAAGTTTTATGATGGATTATGACATATCATATCATACATTTATGAGACTTAGGAACATTCAACACATTTAACATGATTACCCATTTTCCATTGTTAGAAAATTCTAGAGGTACAAAACTAAGTGTCAAGAAGTTCAAACTAGAACTCAGTTTTCCATCAGTGCTGGAATGAAAATGTTAATGTAGAAATCTATCAGCTTTGGAACATTTGCTGTCCATTCAATGTCTTTTACTATTCTAATCACAATGCAGTCTACTCTTGTCCACATAATTAAGTCGCAGAATGTTTTGTTACATATGTGTAGCTGGCCTTGAATTTGATGATAGTATGGGTGACTGGTTTTCAGGCACAGGGTATCTTGTTTAAGATCTAAAAAAAAATCAAAAAACACTTAAGTTGTGTTATACCAGTACATATCCCCTCCTTTTTCAATATCTTCATACCATATTGAACAGCTGCACTTGTAAATAAATACATGTTTTGAAATCATTTACTCACCAAGATTTTTAATTTCAAAGTACTGGACAATACAGATTTTTAATGTTATTTACCTATGAAAAATCCTTCAAATTTTGTGCCCCATCTGCTACTGTTGAAGACGATGCTGTGTATGGACACTTCACCTCTACAATATCAGGAATGGCGTCTTTGGCTTCTGGAGTTTGATAAAATACACTGCATGTTGGTGGTCGAACAACTAAGCCATCAGGTGAAGCTCCCAACACTCCAGATTCATGCAACCATATCCTTTTCAGAAAAAATTATAATACTACTGAATGCAAACAAACCATAATACAATTGATTTTGTAATGCAAACAAAGTCTAAGTAGAGCTTTTATAATCCTTCCACTTCAAAAAGCAAATTTTCTGGAATATGTTGGTAACTGAATATTTATGCCCCGCCATGAATATGGCCGGGGCATATGGTGTTTGTCATGTCCGTCTTCCGTCCTTCCGTCCCACTTTGTGTTTAGCTCTGTTCAAAGCTAAGTTTCAAAGAAACTATCCAAGATATTTTCATCAAACTTCATATGCTGATAGATATTGATGAGAGCTATGCAACTGCATCAACATTTTTTGACCTTGACCTTTCCTTTGACCTTGACCTGACTTTTCTTAAATAGTGTTTAGCTCAGTTTTAAACATACCATTCAAGATGGTGTTATCAAACTTTACATGTTGATACAAACTTGCATAGATGATGCATCTAGAGATGAACACTACCGGACTTGCTTCGGATGCTGGATCTGACCTACATTTTCCAGATGAGTGACCAAATTCAAGTTTTTGGAGCAGGTCCATTCTTAAGGAACTATAAGCCCTACTTAGACCAAACTTGCTTGGATGATGCATCTAAGGATGGACACTACCAGACTTGCTTCGGATGCTGGATCTGACCTACATTTTCCAGATGAGTGACCAGGTTGAAGTTTTTGGAGCAGATTTATTCCTAAGGAACTATTAGCCCTACTTGACCAAACTTGCATGGATGATGCATCTAGGGATGGACACTACCAGACTTGCTTCGGATGCTGGATCTGACTTACATTTTCATTCCCAAGTAACTATAAGCCCTACCTAAACCAAACTTGCATGGATGATGCAGCTAGGGATGGACACTACCAGACTTGCTTCTGATGCTGGATCTGACCTATTTTTTCATTCCCAAGTAACTATAAACCCTACCTGAACCAAACTTGCATGGATGATGCATCTAGGGATGGACACTACCAGACTTGCTTTGGATGCTGGACCTACATTTTTATTCCCAACTAACTATAAGCCCTGCCTGAACCAAACTGATCAAATTTTATACATATACAAATTTCATGTTGCTTTACTAATATATCCTCGGCGGGGCATTCATGTCCTATGGACATATTTCTAGTTTTTTTTTTACAATTAGACTTCAGTAATTGATTTCTGTTTGTCACCAGGATAAGTCCTGTTATTTGTTTTGACACATTGAATGTTAACATGTAAGAGGTTGAATGAATGTTATTTTGTGCTGTATACCTGACTGCTCTACAGCTGCATCAAAGTCCTTTTTCATACTTTCTCAAAGCATCATCTTCATGAGTGATACCCCATGCAACAGCCTTGATGGACTCCAGATTGTAAGCCGACATCAGCTGTTTCTTCAGTGACAATGTCAATCTGGAGAAGAAAATATGATTTTTGGTTATTAATCTTATATTTCCTGCATCTTTATGTACAAATATCTAGTCATTACAGTCGAACCTCATTATCTCAAACTCAATGAGACCAAGAAAAATGTTGGAAATATCCGTGGATTCAAGAATAATACATAAAGAGTTATCAAGAATAAAATGTCCCAGTCTTTTATAAATGGTTTGCACTTCAAAATTACTTTGACATATCCATGAAATATGAGATAATGGGTTTGAGATAACAAAGTTTGACTGTAATTTTAAAAGTCTTTTTCGCAAAAATTTAATCACACGTCTTACCGCCTTTGCTTAGAACTGAGAACTGCACCAAAGTTGGAAGCTGATATGCTATATTTCCTTACAATCGACCACATTGGGTTGTTTCGTTGCCAATGCAGCTCTTTTAATGGATTCAGGGATAATGCATGCTGTAACCATACCATAGGGGTATCAGAATGAACATACTCTGGTGATGTTAACAGGTCTTCAATGAGAGGTACAGGTGGACCAGGTTCACATGGCTCTGGTTCAAGAATCCAATTCAATGCTGAAAAATTTCATTACTTGTGTCATTCTCAAAAATATCATCCATAATATCCATATCACATATACCAAGTATTTATATAAGAGTCCATACATTTCATTTTAGTGAACACTGTCATGGGTTTTTGTAATGTATGCATTACATATCAAATTTACAACTCACTTGCATATATTTGTTCAGAATTGTTCCTGTATATAATTTTGCACGTGGCATTCTTAGTGTGAAAATGCCATGTAAAAATTGGTGCAAATTGGTGCAAATGTACAATTAATATTTACTTAATTATTAACAAGGTTTCATAATGACAGAGTATTTAAATAATAGAAGAATGATCTGATAATTCGCAAGAATATGAAACAAAATATTTTTTTTAATGCAATTGAATAATTTATTTTTCCTTTCAAAAATGTATGCTCATGTACAAAAATGCTATCATATTTATAATATTGTCTTTCCAATTATTCAAAGGTTGTTATTAATATTTATTACATAGTATGTTCAAAAATTGGGCATTATTAAAATTAACCATCGGTCAGTAACAAAATAACAGTTTCATAATACTCGTAATATAAAAATCAAATCAAACTTAAATAACAACAATAGTAACACCAAAATCATAACTTCCTTCTTATATTTTACCAATATACCTTCCAAGGTGCAAAAAACACTGGTCACTTTCATCAAAGGGTCGGTTTAAAGCACTTCAAATATGAAGCAAATTTTTTAACAACTGATTTATTTATACATGTATTTAATGATTGATCATTTTTAAAAAAAAAAAAAAAAACAAGAGGCCCATGGGCCACATCGCTCACCTGAGCACTGTGGCTAGGAAAAAGTAAAAATTGGTTTTTTATTGAAAAGTTTAAATCCAAAAGTAGTCCCTTGACCAATCATGGCTTTGCTTTTCTTGAGAAGGTTATTTTTAAAGAATTTTCCTATATATTTCTATATAAAATTTGATCATCCTTTGTGGCCCCGTCCTACCCCCGGGGGACATGATTTGAACAAACTTGAATCTACACTACCTAAGGATGCTTCCATATAAATATGATCAATCAGGGTTTTGCTGTTCTTGAGAAGAAGATTTTTAAAGATTTTTCCTTTATATTTCTATGTAAAACTTTGATCTTCCATTGTGGCCCCGCCCTACCCCGGGGGTTATGATTTGAACAAACTTGAATCGACACTACCTGAGGATGCTTCCATATATATAGGATCAATTATGGCTTTGTCATTCTTGAGAAGATTTTTAAAGAATTTTCCTATATATTTTTATGTTACACTTTGGTCAGCCATTGTGGCTCCGCCCTACCCCCGGGGGTCATGATTTGAACAAATTTAAATCTACACTACCTGAGGATGTTTCTCCATAAGTTTCATTTTTCCTGGCACAGTGGTTCTTGAGAACAAGATTTTTAAAACATACCATCAAATTTTCATTAATTCCCAATTATCTCCCCTTGAATGAGGGTGTGGCCCTTTATTTAAACAAACTTGAATCCCCTTCACCCAAGGATGCTTTGTGGCAAGTTTGGGTGAAATTAGTCCATGGGTTCTAGAGAAGAAGTCGAAAATATGAAAAGTTTACAGACAGACAGATGGACAGACAGACAGACAAACAGCTAGATAGACAAAATGTGATCAGAAAAGAGCTAGAAATGAAACATTCCTCACCACAAAAGCCAGAAGAATATAGGGACCACCACCAGTAACATGTTTCTGGGAAGAACCAAACCATGCAGAGATAAATATCAATAGTCCTGAATCTTCGATGCAGGACCAAGTACGAGAATTGCTACAAACACTACTCCGGAGACTTACCTATTATCCTATGATGTAACGTACTTTGTCCACTGCAGCTGGTTCCCTCATAAGCTGGTAGCGAGGACAGTTCAGGATGTCCTGTCAACTTTATTCCTCAACTTCCTGTCTTGGACTGAAAAGCAATAAGTGGAAATCTTTAGTGTTGCCTAGTGACTTTGAATTAAAAAGAAAGTTGCAAGATTGTGAAGGGGGGGGGGGGGGGTACTGATGCTGTGCATTTTAATTAAATGTACGAAATCTGTATTTCACAGTTTAATGCATTCATGTATTTTGTGAATTGTCTTAGGATTCATGTAATAATTGTTGCTATGTATTATTAAGCACTAAATCTATTCAACTGCATGTGTAAATGGGGAAAATGTGGATATGTAAATGATGTATAATTGC